TTAAATTTTTATTTTGTCAATATACACTGTATATGATTATTATGGCCCATCACCGACACCTCCCTCCCTCCTCCCTCTCTCCCCTCCCCCCCAAGAATGTCCTTTCCGTTTGCTTGTTGTAACAACTTCATAAAAGTATAGTTGTTATATCTTCTTCCCCCCCCCCCCCCCCCCGGTTTTTTTGTGTGTGTGTGTATGTGGGTGAATTAATTTGTTTGTTTTTTTTAGCTCCCACCAATGAGTGAGAACATGTGGAATTTCTTTTTCTCTGCCTGACTCGTTTCACTCAATATTATTCTCTCAAGGTCCATCCATGTTGTTGCAAATGGCAGTATTTCATTCGTTTTTATAGCTGAGTAGTATTCCATTGTAGCTCCCTTGGCAAGACAACAATACTTTACTCCAAACAAGGTGGTCCTCAAGTCTTTGGTCATGAATCATAAATACCCTGCTGTGAATCCAGTAGACACTCAGAGGAACCTGAAGCTAAGACTGAGCTTTCCCAGTTTTGTTTTGTGTCTTACAATTTCCTCCCCTGGCAGAGGCCTGTTTTATAAACATACCCCAATCATATAACAGTCACATTTTTATAACTAAAACCAAATATAAATATTATAAATTATTTTCTGTTATACATGCCACAACAGACACAGTATTAAAAAAAACTTAAAAGTTTGCTTTATATTTCAAAGACATACTCAAACTGTAATTCTAAAGTCAAAATACAAGCTGGCCACAGTAGTTAAAAGTCTTTACCTGTATTATAAAAATAATTATAAAAAACATAGCTTTCCTTAAAATTTTTTAATACATGGTACTTCAATGTTAACATCTCCATAACATCTTCAAGTACAAATTATATTGCAAACTTCTGTATGATAACAGTGATCATTTAAAAATGTGTTTAAGTCCTAGAAAAGTATTCTGTTCTCTAAAAAATACTGAATACATTCTTGTAATTTTTACTTATCCTGTACATCTATTTTCAAATATTTTGTACACCTAGTGTAACAATAAACTCCAACTTATTTTATATTACATTGTCCTAAATTTAAAATTATAGGGATCGGCACTAAGTAGGTTTACTAAATAAGCACAGTGTCAAAAAACCTCATATTAGTTGAGTGGCAGTAATAGCTGAATGCTACTAACCTGAGTCATCTTGTAATTACAGGAAAATTACCTCCTGTCTTTGTGAATCACAGCAGTCTCCACCCTCAGAGTGCGGCAGCCGTTCCCATGACTTTGTCAATGTGTAATGTAAATGACAAGCAGGAGGAAGGAAACCAAACAGCGAGGTCCCTCACGTGGTGAACCACTTCTGTGAGTCTCTGAAGGGAACACAGGCCCTATTAGGAAAAAAACAAATACTAAATGTCATTTTACATAATAAAAATGTTGAGCCAGCTACAGCCCAGGATTGACCTCTTGATCTATGCATATATTACCCAGAGAAGTAGGAATTAGTAAGAACTGTAATAGGTGGAGCGTGCCAGAATTAAAAGAGAATTAATAAATTAATTCCTAAGATTTCTGTAAAACACACAGTACTTTCTCCCAATATTAAATTGAATAATTTCATCGTGTTCCTGGAAAAACTGCAAGCATTGAGAGTCAACTCTGAATCCAGTGGCTTAATTAAATGTATACTAACTATGTAAGACAATTTCACTAAATTATACGAGTATTCAATCTTTCCAGTACAATCGGACTGCTCAGTATTTGTCCACATTGCAGCTATCTCCATGTCACTCTGACAAATACTCTTATTTTTCCTTGTTTATGTATTTTTTTCTCTTTCATAATACAGAGTTTGTCATGAAACCCATCGAAAGCTCTTAGTTACTAAGAGAAAGAAAGAAAAAAAAAGCACCTTGCATACCAAAAGTACTTTGTAACACAGAGGTCCTGGGGTATAAAATGACATCCTGAGAAATGCCTGGTGTGGTAGAAAAGCCCATCCTATAGCACCTTGGGCCCTAACTGCTTCTCTGTAAATGAAGTGACTGGACCTTCACCGACATCACAGCTCACAACCACTTTCCTAGTTTCCATATCCTTTGTGTGTACACTACGCTGCCACAAACTGTACCTCTTAGTATTACATATGGTGATCCTCACGATGGCAGGGTGGCGTGTGTGTGGCTTCCCCCTGCTTCCCCCTGCTCCCTACCCCACCCCAACCCTGGTCCCTATTTAAGAATCACTGATCTGGGTATGCATTGGCAAGCTTCTCTCTGGTCTTCAGAATTTACATATGCATTTTAATCCCATTCATCTCTTTTTTTTTCTTTTTTTTTTTTTGTCTTTTTCGTGACCGGTAAGGGGATCGCAAGCCTTGGTGTGGTGTCAGCCACACCGCGCTCAGCCAGTGAGCACACCGGCCAGTCCTATATAGGATCCGAACCCGCGGTGGGAGTGTCGCTGCGCTCCCAGCGCCGCACTCTCCGGAGTGCGCCACAGGCTCGGCCCCGTTCATCTCTTGATCATATGTAGATATACGATCTGTGCCACTGAGAGCCATCAAAGTGGACTTTTTAGGAAGCATGTTTAAAAAGGTTTTTGAAAGAGCTATTAGTCAAAGCATCTCATCTTTCCTCAGGCAATTTTGGAGACTGCCTTAATTATAAAGAAGATGGCATTTGTGTACTGAGTCCCATGCCAGGCCCAAAGCTAAAGGCTGTCCACTTGAATTTACCCTTCTACAGCCTGGCCTAGGCAGTCCCCTGTCACAGCTGGGACTGTCTGTGTGCCTTTCCTTTGGGCATTAGTGCCTAAATGTATTAGCCCTCTCGGAAAACCTGCTGAAGACAAAGTCTTCAACGCCTTAGTCAGTAAGAGCAGCTAATGAGAATTTTAGAGAGTGCAGAAGGCACATGTGAGCTACTCGGAGGGTGGGGGTGCAGGGAGAGAGGCTTTTCTATACCCCCAAATCACATTCCCCAAACACCTACTCAGACAACTGACTTTCCTTAACTTCCCTAAATTATAATCCAAATTTTCCTGTCTAAAATGTGTGAATCATATTATCTTCTCCACAAAGGTGCTGGGCAAAGACAAAATAGGGCAGTTCATCTATGTAAAAAGAGTTGAGTTCCAGTTAAGTCCTTTTACTATCTCAGCTCTATTTAATATTGAAAGAAATGCATTGCTTTTCGTCTTCTCCCTGAATAAACGAAGAGCCCTCTTCTAAGACAAAGGCTTGTACCTCAAACTTTCTGAAAAGGGCCATGTGTGTATTTTCCTGGGAAGATGTTCAGTACCTCAAACCAGGGCTCAGAGGCAAAGTCAGCTTTTTGGGAAAAAAAAAAAAGATTTTCTATATTAAATTAAAAATATATATCTATCCATTCAACAATTACTAATTGAAAAGGACTAGGGATGGAGATAAAATAATCCCCCTCCCTCCTAATCCAGGAATCCAGAATATGGAAAACAAAGAAATAGAAAGTTAAAATATAGTAGAATCCTGAGCATGTGAATCCCCAAACTCATGCCTTGCCTTATTTAATCCTAATAATCATATGATTGATATGTATATTATGAACCCCATGATGCTACTAAACATCATGGACTGTTAGGTCACTCACAAGTACTCTAAACCACGAATGCCAGTGGCCCATGTCCAGTGGGATGAATATTATGATCCAGGTGTGCACAGGTGCTATATGAGCACACAGGAGAGGAAACTAATCTAGCCTAGGGTGGAGGGGCACCGAGGGCTATCCCAAGGGGCTGACATCTAAATTGAGGCTCAAAAGCTGAGGAGGGGTCAGCCAGGTAAAGGGGGAGTGGGTGGGTCTAGGCATAATAAACAGCACAGGTAAAAAGGAAGAAATGAGACCAATTACTATCTCTTTGGTGAACTTCAAGTAAACTAATAACAACAACAATAACAGCAACACACATACACACAAATATATATGAATTATTTACTACGGGCCAGGCCATGTTGTCTGCATTTAACATACACTCATATTAACTCATTGACTCTTCCCAATAACTACATGAAATAGAAACTATAATTTCTCCCATTTTACAGATAAGAAAATAGAGGCAGGGAGAACATAAGTGACTTTTCCAAGGTTGCACAGCTAGTAAGTGGCAGAGCCAGGATTTGAACCCAGAAAGCTTGACGCCAGAGTTCACACTCTTCACTATCCAGCTGGCGGGAGGAAGGAGGCGGGGAGGCAGGGGGTGAAATGAGAGGTTGGAAGGGCAGGTAAGGGTCAGATCACACAGGGCCTAGGGTACCATTCTAAGGAGTCTGGATTTTATCTTGGACATAATGGGGAAGCACTAAATTATCTCAACAACAGGAATGACACAATTTGGTCATCTGGGTTTTAGAAACCCCCTTTGGCAATAGTGTAGACTGGCACTGCCTGGCTAGGTCACAATGAGGACAGAGAAAGAATGTGGCTCAATACTTTCGAAAAAGAATGACACTAAGGATGATTAGAAGGGGGCAAATTCAGGAGAAATACTCAGGAGGAAGGATCGAATTAATAGGACTTGGTGACTGATGAAGAGTTAAAGCAAAGAGCACACTGAAGCTGAACTGTGATGACAGTAAGGCAGATGGAGTACAGTGGAACACTGCCACCCCCAAAATACAGCAGCAGTCCAATGGACCACCGCCACCCCAAAATACAGCAGCAGTTCAATGGACCACCACCATCCCCCAAATAAAGCAGCAGTTCAGTGGACCACCACCACCCCAAAATATAGCAGAAATTTAATGGACCACCAGCACCCCAAAATACTGCAGGGGAACACAAGGCAAGCCAAATGAACCTTAGTAATGGCCAGACATAAACACTGACAACCCCTTCCTTTGTATGTACATGAACAACCCAAAGAAGTTTACTTAAGATTTATGTGTTTGCAGGAAATAGGGTATAAGAAGGATTGTGAAATGCCACAGTGATCAGCAATACATTATACTTTATACTATGGTATGGGTTATTTGTATGTATGTTCTGTAATTGATTGCAGCACTTTCCAGATAGGAACAGTGTATCTTATGATCTCTGCTTCTTTGCTAGGTATTGCAATTTATAACATTCAATAAATCTATTGTATAAATATGTGAACAAATGACCCCTGGGTAGAAGATGCTGTGGGTCACCACCAAAGAGAATACAAGAGGAGGTGTGGGTTTTAGACATGGGCATATTGTTTCCATGGTATCCAAAGGTCAACAAAATCAGATGGATATGAAACTCAGGAGAGTAGATGGGATCAGAGATCATTTAAAAATCATCACTATCCCAGGACTTGACCCTTTGGGCTATGGGAGTATATTAAATCAAGAGAATGTGCAGATTCAGAAAAGGAATAAGGTTAGAACACGAAAGACCTGCAACATTGAACCCCCACAGACGCTGGTGTTAGAGGAGAGGCTGGCTACCTGCCATTAGAGCTCTCCCATAATTAAATTTAATTCAAGAAATAGTGACTAAGTGCCTGTCGGGTGAGAGTTTCTCTGACAGCAATGAGAAGAACAAAAGACAGGTGGTCCCTGCTCTCCAAAACCTACAGGCTGATTACACAAGGGTAAGTCAGAACAGCTGGGCAGCAACAGTAAAGAGCCAGCATATGATTGATTGAGAGCAAAGTGTCTGGACAGCAAGCAGTATTAGCCTTCCTAGGGTGACACTTTGAGGCTGAGGATTACTCCCTCTAAACGATGAAGCAAGTGAAACAGTCTCATTAATATTCCCTACTCAACACAGAACGTTCATGATATGCCAGAGAGGTGACAGCTCAAACGGCAGAGAAAGGAACAACTGGCATTTCTAATTGAAATCCTACGAGCAGAACAAACTCGGGGCTTCAAAACAACAAAATATGGAGCTCCAGGAGAAAACGAGCCTCTCTATAATCCCTCGGGGCCCACTGAGCACAACATGCTGACAGAAAGTGGATGGGGGTGTTGATCGCAGGGGAAAGAGATCAAATATTCCCTAAGAACACTTTGTTTGTCATGAAAATTTTCCAAGATTGTGTGTCTAAACTGACTCCATTTAGGAGTACGATGTTATCTCCAAAATCTAAATAAAGGGAATGAATGCAATCACATCTGGGTGGGGAATGTGCACGCATGAGAGTGGTTCCGGGAGGATGACATGCAAAGTAGGAAACGGACTCCAGCTTAGCATGGATCCTGAGATCTGCTACCAAAGGTTGTTCCTCCACGGGCAATGGCTAGGCAATATTCACTGTAACTATATTATAATTCGTTTTGATTCTACAGATAAGAAAACGCCAGAAAAGAACAAGAAAATCAAATATGAGATTGAAGACAAATGAAAATACAGCACCCGGCTTCCTCCAGGCTGGTGTCAATTTGACAAAA